TTGATTTTCAACAAAGATGCCAAGACAACTTAATGAGTAAAAATTAACTCAAAATAGATCAAAGACCTAAATATAAGAGCCAAAACTGTAAAACTCTTAGAAGAAAACATAGGTATAAACCTTCATGACCTTAAATTAGAAAATGGTTTCTTAGCTATTACACCAAAAGCACACATTATCCAAAGAAAAGATAGAAATTTGGACTTCAAAATTAAAAACTTTTGTACTTCAAAGGATACCATCAAGAAAGTAACAGGACAACCCACAGAATAGGAAAAAAATATTTGCAAGTCATGTATACCATAAGATCTAGTATTCAAGAATATGTAGAATCTCTTATAACTCAACAATGAAAAGATAAATACCGCAATTTTTAAAATGGGCAAATGATTTAAATAGAAATTTCTTCAAAGAAGATGTGCAAATGACCAATAAGCACATGCCAAAAAATGTTCTACATCATTAGTCATTAGAGAAATGCAAATCAAAACCACAATTAGATATCACTTCATATCTATTTAGATGGCTATAATTTTAAAAAAGGCAGACAGTAACAAGTATTGATGAACATGTGGAGAAATAGGACCCCTCATACATTGCTAATAGACATGAGAATGCCACTTCAGGAAGAGTTTGGCAGCTCCTCAAAAAGCTAAACACAGTGTTACCGTATGACCTAACAATTCCACTCCTGGACATATTCCTAAAAGAATTGAAACTTATGTTTTCGTAAAAACTTGTACACAAAGCTTTATAGTAGCATTACTGTCTATAATAGTCAAAAAGTGGAAGCAACCCAAATGTCTATCAACTGATGAGTGCATAAATAGAAGTAAGCTGTGGTATACCCATAATAAAATGGAATATTATTCGGCCTCAATAAAGAATGAAATTCTGATACATGCTACAACATGATAAACCTTAAAAGCATTATGCTAAGTGAAAGAAACCAGTCACAAAAGGCCACATATTGTCTGACTCCATTCATATGAAATTTTCAGAATAAACAAACCCATATAGACAGTAAGTACTTTTGTGATTTCCAGAGGCTAGGGGGAGGGAAAAATGAGGAAGGGCTGCTAATGGGTGTGGGATTTCCTTTTGGGGTGATGAAAAGGTCCTAGAAATAGTAGTGGTAATGGTTGCACAATTTTGTAAATATACTAAAAACCTCTGAATTGGATTAAAAGGGTGAATTTTATTGCACATAAATTATGTCCAAGATTAACTTCCAGATGTCATTATCATGAGGATGGAATAAATGAAATATTTCACAAACAAAGAAGACTTCGTTAACTCACTTTTTCAATGGTAAAATAATTTTTAATAGAATAAGAAGAAACAACTCACCAACAACGTTATCAATTTGTTCTAGAATAGCAATTGTGGTTTTAAAATTATTTTTAATTAATTTTTTTCAATTACAATTGACATGCAATATTATTTTATATTAGTTTCAGGTGTACAGCATAGTGGTTAGACATTTATACAATTTATGCAGTGATTCCCCTCGATTAGTCTAGTGCCCACCTGGCACTATATATTGATTACATAGTTGTTGCAACATTATTGACTATAATCTCTATGCTGTACTTTATAGCCCTTGTGACTGTTTTGTAACTATCAATTTGTGTTTCTTAATCCCTTCCCCCTTTTCCCCCAGCTCTCCAACCCCTTCACCTCTGGCAACCATCATTTTGTTCTCTGTATCTATGAGCCTGTTTCTGTTTTGTTTGTTCGTTTATTTTGTTCCTTAGATTCCACATATAAGTGAGATCATATGGTATTTGTCTTTCTCAGTCTGACTTATTTCACTTAACATATTACCATCCACGTTGTTGCACAGAATAGCAATTTTGTTAGTTACAGTCCAGGGTAAGTTACCATTCCTGATATCAATATCTTCGTCATTCTTTCTTAATTTCCTAAAACTTATTTAAAGTATGCCATGTTCTTTCTAGTTCAATTTAGCCCTAACATAACCACAAAATATACTCTAACATTGAACCTACAAGCAAAGGTAACAATTTCAACTCAAATGCCAACTCAAGTTTATTAGTAATGGCTACATGGAATGTTGTGTTTAGAAGGATTCTGAGGCTATATCCAGGCTGAGCAGAAAAAAAAAATGGTGATTGAGAAAAATCTGTCTTGAGCTTGGCAGTGATAGTAGAGGTGAGTACACTTGGGCTAATTATTCGATCTAGGAAAATGCATTATTCTGCTGAGTGGATGCAAAATCAGTTGGGTAGATAAATCTTTGGGTGGATTATAACGCAGCTAATAGACACATTCGCACAGCATGACCTAAAAATGAATTTGAGGCCTGTAGTTTACATGCAAAATCCCCAAATTTTGGAATAGCCAACATTTATGGCTCAGATGTCAAAATCACTCAGTAAATAGCACCAACTTTCATACTGTATAAGGTCGAAGTATTTTAAATAATACATTTTATATAGTGTGTGCTGTCAAAGGTTCTTAACATGAGAATGTTAGCATGTCCTTATAATAACATCTGATACAGTGAGAGAAAATGTCGAGAGATTTTTTTATTACAGTCACTGAAAAAATCAAGATAATCACCAGTAGATGGACTCTGAGCCTGCTATAACCCATATTGACTAAGTTTGAGGTTTACCTCCCAATAGAACCCTTCCCTCCTTTTCTTCCTACAGTAGCCTGCTCGTCCTTTGATAGACAAGAGGTGTCTAAAAAATGAGTCCTATTTCTCTGTCACATTTGGTAAAACATTGGTTCTCAAATTGTGATCCCCAGACCAGCAGCTTCAGCATCACCTAGAACTTCTCAGAAATACAATCTTTTAGAAATGCAGCGTCACCCAAGGCCTGCTGGATCTGAAACTAGGAGCGTGTCCAGCAACCTGTGTTTGAACAAGCCCTCCAGGTGACTCCGGGCTCAAGTGTGAGAGCCTCTGCTGTGACTTGTTCTCTTCTAGAATAGGGAAAGGAAGGAGGGACTAGAAGAACAAGAGAAGTTGGGGAAGTGCCCGGGGAGAAGTGGCAGCAAAGTTGGCATGGGACGTGAACCTCCATAGGTCCCAGTGGGGACTTTCTTTGTTTATTTCCTCTTTTATAACAACTCTCTAGTTCCTCAGAAAAGGTTTGAAGTGCTCTCAGGATCTCCCCCAATCTTCATCCCCACCCCACCCAACTACCAGCTGCTTAGAGTCACTTCTTTTGAAGCCAAAACAGAGAGCCAGGAGAGGAAAATAGTGCACATACATTCCCTCATGTCACAGTGAAGCAGCATTTTTATTCAAAAAGCGTTGGCATCAAGATGCCTGGCTTTAGTGCGTCAAAACCAAACAGGCTCCGTGGCTAGTAAATAAATTAGTGTGTGAAGTGCTTAGAACAGCATCTGGTTTACAGTGAGTGTTCACTGTATGCAGGAGGCAACAGTGTTGGTGGCGATTGCTGCGAGGGCCAGATTTTCTCCACAGAGGTGCCTGGGTTGGTATCTAGAAGCAACTGCTATTTGCACCCAGTTGTGGGTGGCCACATGAAGAAGATTGCCAGCTGGACAAAGGTCTTGATCTTGACCCTTTGCAAGCAAGTGAGGCTCCCTGAAGGCAATGCCCTCACTGTGCCTCAACTGTAAGAATGGTCATCAGCTGAGCTGCTACTTGCCTGTCAGTACTCACCACAGAAACAAGGATCCTGGCTGACCAGCATTTGGGGCAACAAGCCTGGGAGGAGGGGCTGAAGAACATCAAGCAAAGCAGAGGCATTTCACGGCCTTTCTAGTAAGCGTTGCGTGTTGGAGAGCCCAAAATTCAAGGGGTGGAGTGGGTGGTCACATGATGAAAGACAGCAGGTTAGATACTGGCCACTAAATGTGGGAACCTCTGAGCAGGCGTGAGAGTCACAGGCTAGAAAGGCACTGGGTCCCTGGGACCCACAGACAGATCAGATCACTGCTATAGGAAGCCAATGATCAGAGTTGGATTTGAAAGACTCAATTTAGGGTTCTTGGTTCCAATCTTTTTCTTTCCCCCATTGAAATGCTGTTCTAAATCCTGATGTAGCCAGCAGAGCACCACTTGTCAGTATGCAGATGATGGGGCGAGGGGGTGGGAATGGAGGGAAAGGGTGGAGAGAGCGGAAGGAAATGGAAGAGGGTGGAGCAGGATGGGGGGAGGGAAGGAGGAGACACAGAGAAGAGAAAGGGAAAGGGGAGGGAGAAGAGAGTGAGAAAGGGGAGAAGGGAAAGGAGGAGAAGGAAATGATTGATAGTCCCAGAGTGCCCACTGCTATCCAAGCCCTGTCCTACATGTTTTGTATATGCTTTCTCATTTAGTTATTGTAACTATAAGATCTGGCCAGGAAAGAGTCTAGAGACTCTAAGGCAAGTCTCATTCCTAATGAAAAAAGAATTAGTTTACAGTGAACTTTATCTGCTTAGGCCCCAAGACCTGAGGGAACCAAATTGATTCAATCTACTATAACAATGCAAGTTAAATGCAGATTGAATCATTAGGTATGAGGGGAGCTATGGAAGAAGAAGGTTGGGTTCACCTCAGTCTTGGGTGTTTCCCCTGCTCATGCTGTTCCTCCAGATTCTGAAGCCCCTTAGCCTGGGTTCTCAAACTCATATGCGTATGGGGACCAGGAAGATGAATGAAGTGTGCTAAGTGGGCCTGGTATAAGATAACAGGCAGCAGTCACCTGGCTGCCATGTCAGGAGGTAATAGGGAATAGTAGGGATGAGGGGAAAATGGCACTCACGCGCCACCCTCTGAAGAGGCAGCACTGCTCAGCTCCACCCTGTTGTATGTCGTGTGTAAGTGGCCTCAGTGTTGCTGGACCTTCTAGTTTTTCACAAGAAGGCAGAAACCCAGTGATCAGACAACATTTGGGGGACTAATAAATTGCATTTGTAGGCTGTACCTGCCCTCTGATTGACTGGACCGCAATTGTGTCTTTTCCTGAGTTGTCAACAGAAGTTTGATCCCTCCCTGTGTTATTTTCTCTTTCCAGGCCATTACATTTACGTGGACACCTCCTTCGCTAAGCAGGGGGAGAAAGCTGTGCTGCTCAGTTCTGACTTGCAAGTTGAGGAGTGGAGCTGCCTCCGATTGGTCTATCAGATAGCTGCACCTTCTGGGCCTGCATCAGATTCCAGCCGACTGAACCTCTACTTGAGATTTGAGGACGAAAGCTTTGATCGCTTGCTTTGGACAGCTACGGAGCATTCGGACAGTTGGCTTATAGCCAGCCTGGATTTGCAAAACAGCTCCAAGAAATTCAAGGCAGGTGGAATTTTGGAGGAAGTTTATCTGTGGCTTTAGGCTATCCGCCATTGAGTTCATTATATCCTGTGTCAGGGTGTGATTTTTTTTTATAGGAGATGCATCAGAAAAGAATATTAATAATGGAAATTAATATATTTTTTTATTTCTTTTTTTTTTTTTTTTTTTTTTTTTTTTTAGCTGAGCCATCCTGCTACCTGTTGGCAGCTCAGCGGCTGCTCAGCTCGGGCTGGACTCGAACCGCTGTTGCTCAGAGCTCAAACTCTTGAGCGAGCTCTTAACCAACTGAGCCACTCGGCCAGCCCTTTTTTTATTTCTTAAGAGAGCTTCTTTCCAGATTTCTTTCCTGTCTGTTTAAATGGGACTTCAGTACAAATCTAAATGGGGCCTAAACCAACCTCCTCAATGGAAATTTACTTTCTAATGGCGTTAAGGAAGCATTCTCATTTCTTACAATTTTGTTTCATCCTTCTCAGTTGTGTGTGGTATATGTTTATGTTATCTTCCTAATGGTTTGTTTGCTACAAATTTTAAACAAAACATTAGCCATAATAAAAGGAAAAATGAATTGTACTTTCTTACTTTACAAGAGGAAAGCTACTTAAAAGACATGCTCTGATTCGTTTTTAAAGATGGAAGTTATTCCACAGGAAGTGTTGGAAAAGGAAAGTAGAGCATCTAAGATTAAGTTGCATGTGGATTGGAGTAGGGAAAGAGGACTCGCTTGACCATAAAGTGTGATATTTAGTGAGACTATGTCATAAATGATACAATGGAGGCTTCATGAAAATGTTCTCCATTCCTAACCCCCTTTCAATTTCCTATCCCATCCCACTTCTTCAAAAGTTTTGAAATCTCCTCTGTCCCTGTCTGCTTGTAGTCCCTCCCCATCAGGTGGCTCGAGGGAAGGTACATTGAGTTCCCTGTTTCACAACATCCTCCCCACAGTATATCATAGCCGAAATCTACCAACATAGTTGCAAAATATTGGGCTAAAATCACCTAAAGGAAAGTGAATACTTTCAGAAACAGGACCAAGTATGAATGATAACAGTGCTTGAAATCAGTCACATAAATTGTCACACTTCTATCTGCTCTGTGTGTGAAATTTTCAATTTTTTCAGCAATATAGATATTATATGTTAGTTTATTTATGAGCCTCCTCCATCTCACGTGTAGCTCTCCCACCACTAGTCAGATTATGCATCCTATCTCCACCTCCACGGGATTTTCCCCCCTGAAGCTTCTACCTTCTGTTCCTGATCTTTCTCAGGATGGATTTCCCCAGAGGCGCATGCTCTCCCCTCTACCCACAGCCAGCTGGTGCCACCACAAGCACTGGAGAAGGTGGTGCTTGGGGTAACAGTGGAAGGCACCTGACTCTAAGCTTTTATTGGACAGCTTGTTTACCTCATAGTTCTGAGTATGTATGTACACACACACATGCACTCACACACTCACACACACACACATATACACACTCACTCACATACACATACACACACACCACACATACACACTCATTGACACACCACACACTCACTGATACACACACACCACACACACACACTCACACACACACACACACACACACTTTTTTAATAAAGTTCATCATGAGATTGATATCGAATAGCAATAGGCTGAGACAGACAATCTCACTTTGCCTTGAATTGCTGAACAGCCTCTGTCTAATAGCCGAAATACTGAAACAAAGAAACATGGTGTTTTGAAGTCTCACTCCCTTTTCCCCATGTCTTGTGCAGATTTTAATAGAAGGTGTGCTAGGACAGGGAAACACAGCCAGCATTGCACTCTTTGAAATCAAGATGACAACGGGCTACTGTATTGGTAAGTGGGTTTCATTTTCATTGTATCAGAACATGAATCTTGTTCTAAAATCCACTGCTGCCAGGGGGAATTGAATCAATCCTAAAGTGTTTTATAGAATGCACTGCATCATGCATAATAGTTAAAATTCTTTGCTAGGTTCACTGGAATGGCGTATTCTTGTTTCTGTCTTTAGCATGGGAAAGCTCATTCGAGTTTGCCCAGACTGGCTGGATTAATGAAAGAAAAGTAGATGCAGCAACGGTAACCTGAGCCGCTGCCTTAACCTCAGCATATTCTAATAAAAACAATTTCCAGTTTACTGTGAACTCAGCTTTTTGTAGCATTTTTCCAGAAAAGTGGGCATTGTATTACCCCCTGTCCTCACTTTACTCCGTTTCTCTTTTGCACCCCACTGCCTCTGTCTTTATAGTCACAATTGTCACTTAGATTCCACTTGAGCAGGGTTATCTGGGTGCCTCTTATGTGTCCGCTTCTGAGAGGGCATAAGGAAAAGACAGTCCTTGTCCTGTGGTCGGTCGCTCACCTTCTACTTGTCTACCCCTGAAGCTATGTCTATATGTGATGAATATTGCCGGCGAAGGACTAGCCTTACTGTGGAGGTGCAGTGGGGAGGAGGGGAGGGCGGAGAGGACTGAATTCAGGAGACGCATTTGAGCTGGCATTTCAAGGAGTAGAATTTAGTCAAGTAAAGGCGCCAGGTAGGAAGACTTGAGTGGAGAGAAAGCACAGAACAAGCTCAGGCAAAGGCTGGACGCTGAGTGGGGTGTTTGAAGTGAGAATCAGGATTGATGAGGGAGTTTGTTACAGGAGAGCCTGGATCCCAGCTGTGGAGCTTGGATTAATGAATTACATGGGTGGGAGGTCCTAAAGGTCAGTCAGCAGAGGAGTGGTTTGCAGCCGTGGTTTCCAGATGATGACTCTGGCTGCCACATGGCAAATGAGTTAGAAACAAGGAAAATGCTTAAGAGGTAGGAAAATCCCTAGGAAGTGGTTGTGATCTTACAGGGACATAATGAGGGTCTAAAATTGGGGTTGGCAATGGAGTAGGAAAAAAAGCGGTCGATTTGGGAGGTTTTTCAACACTGACAGTACTTGGAGGTTGAATGGCTGTGGAGAGGAAGAGAGAGTCAAAGATGATTCTGAACACAAAAGAGCCTTTGCTAATTCCCGGAGTCTCACATCTCTGTTGTGGCCATCCAGTGATGACGCTAATGCAAGTGAAACAAAACAGACTGAGAGATACAGTGATTTTAGGCCCCACTTCCCTTCCCTGAACCTCCCTGTAGCTCCCACATGTCTGCTGCTTGGGTCTTAGACAACCGGCTGACTAGTCAGACACATGAGGTAGAGTTACCACCTGCTGGCTCAGTTAACCCACGGAGGAGCCTCATGCCTCTGTTCTATCACCTGTAAAACAGGGATAAACTGCTTTCCTCATAGGATTATTGTGGGCACTAATGAGATCATAGATATGTAGGTGATTCTTGGGGTGCTTAACACTCAAGAAATGTTAGTTTTCTTTCTTCAAGTCACTTGATGGCTTCTGGTTTGTTTAAGAAACAAGAGGAGTGCCAATACTTTTATCTTATTAAACGTGCACTCACACTCTCACTTCTCCTTTCTTTCTATGCACTCTATTTGTTTCTCTCAGTTCCTTATCTGTTAAATGAGGCTCATAATAGTACCTACCTTACGGGGTTATTCTGAGGCTTACATACATTAATTTATATAAAGTGCTTAGAAAAGTGCCTGGCACATTGAGGGATATTTTGCTTTCTTTTCTATTGTACTCTGTGGCAGTCTTTGGCACTGAATGTTGAGCACTGGTTAGCAGATGCTGCAGTGGAAAAGTTGTAAATGAGAATCTTAAAATTTTTCAGTGCTTGCTAGTGTAAAAACACATTGATGACTATTAATATATCAGTGAGGGTCATGTCAGGAAAGTGGAAACAGAGGGTTCATTCAACCTGAGTAATTTGAGGAAAGTTCCACAAGGAACTACAAAGGTGTGAGTGGGTAAAGGAAACCAATGAGGGATAGTGTAGTAATCTAGAACTGGTAACAGCGATGAGTCATGAGCTGTTACCATCCTTAGATCTGAAGGAGCAAGGGAGGAGGGTTATGAGAACCTAGAGACAGTGGTGTGTGGTAAGAACTTCTTGACAAGAGCTGTCCCCTCTGTAGAGGGACACAGCCAACCCATGGTGACCTGGTAGAGAGAGTGCTGGAGGAATCGACACTCCCAACCTCATTCTCCTCCCACCTTCCATTGGTCGAATCCAACAGGAAGCTGGAAGGAAGGGGGACCATTGATACGGTCTATACAGGTCAACCTCTGGAGGACAGAGCAGGGTGGAAAAAGGTGGAGTGGATCTGAAGGGGTCCACGGGAGGTGGCAGCACAATCACACTTCATACTTTTAATTGATGATTATGGGGGACAGTGGATACACTGGCTTGTGAGTTTTTTGTTTCTACTAAAGTAGTCTGTTGACTAGGAAAAATTTAACCATGAAAACATGTCAATGCCACTAAAAGAGGGCAGGGGAGGGCGTCTGTTTATCTTCCTTTTTTTTTTTTTTAAGCTGAGCCATCCTGCCACCTGTTGGCAGCTCAGAGGCTGCTCAGCTCAGGCTGGGAATTGAACCGCTGTTGCTCAGAGCTCAAATTCTTGAGCAAGCTCTTAACCAACTGAGCCACTCGGCCAGCCTGGGTTCTGTTTATCTTCTGTCTCTTCTCTCCGCAGTAGCTGCAGAAGGACCCAGAGCCTAGCGTATGCCTGTACTGCCTATTCTAACTGGGCTCTTGTTTATAAGAAAAGCAGAAGATGTTAGCATTAGGAAGCACACCCCTTAGCTCTGGGTATTTTGTCCACCATCAGGAGAAAGGCAAATGGAAGAATGGGCTACCAGGTGCAAGAAAAGGTCGAGGATAAATTTTCTGGAACTAAGAGCATAGCCCTAAACAGTGCTTTGAAACACACATGGATGATAAAAATGGCTGACTTGTGCCAAACACCAAACGTGCACCTATCACCGTGTTGGGAGCTGTCCACACTTACAACAGTCCTATGAGGTGGGAACATTGCACATATGAAGAAACAGAGGCTAAGAGGAAGTAATGAGTCACTCTCTGCACGTAAGATGGCTAGTAAGTGGAAGGGCCAGAATTCAAAGGGGCAATGATGAATTACAATTTCTGTTCATTACAGAAGCTCTCTCTCTTCTTGATTGTGCAGGGGTCCTGGTATAAAGTTTCCAGTGGGCAAAGGGAGTGAGAAACATATTTTAATATCTAAGTGCAGACTCTGCAGTGAGTATGGGTGTAGCCAGGTATGACTACATCTCCATGAGGTATGTTTTCATTTCTCTTCTGCCAGAATGTGACTTTGAAGAAAATCATCTCTGTGGCTTTGTGAACCGCTGGAACCCCAATGTGAATTGGTTTGTTGGAGGAGGAACTGTTCAGAATTCCCACTCCATCCTTCCGCAGGACCACACCTTCCAGAATGAAATGGGTGAGCTGGGGACAATGGATTCCTTTTCCCAGGATAACTATTTCTGCCATTTCCTCCCACCCGCCTGCATTGACCGAACTATGGCTCTGTCAACAGAGAAGAGAGGAGAGGGGAGGGTGAGTAGGGACTGGGAGGCCTGGTGGAGGGTAGGAAGCATAAGCAGTCAGATAAAGACAAACTGCAGACATGAGATCTAAAACTAAGAGGAAGACCACCTAGTTAACGGCTTTTCTTCTCCTGTGACCTGGTCTTGCTATTTTCGCATTTCTACAATATATTATGCTTTACTCTCTTATCTATTAATATTTGTTGTTCAGTATTTTTTATTTCTAAAGACAAGGCTGGAGTAATCCTAGGTTACTTTTCACTAAAAAGAAATGGAAGGATGGGAACCAGACCTTAAGAACACCCCAAGTGGTAGTGAGGTGAGCCAAGACCAGATTAATCCTGAGTGTCGTGTGCAGCAGGGCCCCCTAGTGGCCACATGGGCGGGTTCTCTGCAGGGAAAACCGGAAGGAGAGGTTATCGGTGAGAATTCCACCCTGAGGAGAAAGCCTTCACAGAAAGGAGATAAGGGCAAGGGAGATGAGAGAACAGAAGAATGCCCCTTTAGATATGTGTAGGATCACTTACAAAAGGAATTGAGATTTGAAAAAGACTAGACATTTTCACTTTTTCTCTTTTAAAAGTAGGGAAGGCTTAGCACTTTTGGAAATGGCAGAAGATTGGAGTTTTCATAGGTATATCCACATTTTGACCCTAAAGACACACAGCCCATCTCCACTTGTGGCCACTGTTGGAACCACACTATAAATGAGTGTTATGTATAGAGTGAATGGTAACTAATCACAATAGATTAATCCATGAATCTGCATGAGTATTTTAAAAGACAATTGGGTTAACCCAAGAGACAATAAAATGTCACCACCTCTTGAGATCTTTGTTTACATGAATAAAGCAATTAACAATCTCTTGGGGTTTCAAAAAAGAAAAGCCAGATGACTTTTTCTTAACTTATGGAAGTAAGCTACTTTCGAGATTGTTTTTCTGCCGTATCTTAAGAACCTAGTACAAGGAGTACAGAGAATCTTGAAAGACTAACGCATTAAATTTGCAATAACCCTGGGTGTACAAACTTAAGAGTGGGGAAGTGTTGAAGAATTGAAGAATTTTTCCCAAGCATTTAAAAATTAGTTCCAAGGCCAGATACTCTGGGTAACCAATGTCATGATCTAATGATTACTTGTTTAATGCATAATTTTTCATCCTCAGTGATGGTGAGGACCAGCTGGCTGGGGAGAACATGTATATCTGGGGAGAGGCAACTAGACCTGTGGACTAGTGTCAAATCATCCATTTGACTGTGTTACCTGAATGTAATCCATCCTTTGAAGAATGCACCACTCCTAGTCCTTACTCACTCTCATTTGTGATCACAGAACATTTTGACCATATTTGTGTCAGTGGGGGATAGAGAAAGAGGACAAGGAGTTGTAACGCTTGTGCCCCAGACCCAGTTATCAGAGTGCTATATTATTTGGGGCATTATTATTTTTGTATTACCCTTAACTTCTCCGAGTCTCCATTGGCCTGTTTGCAAATGAGGACTTTGAATTCCATGATCTTGAAGGTGTCTTTGAGTTCTCATATTTTACTTGTCTTTCTTTAATGCTATATATCAAGATCTCCAAATTCGTCACCCATTGAGATCTATTTCAAAACGTTTTGGGTCCCTCTTGAGTACTTACAAGCACATTGCATTTGGCATTAGCAAACGGGAAAAAAAGGAAGGTCTAAAGGGATTAAAGGGTAAGAAAAAGAGGACCTGTCTTTTCTAGTATCTGGAACAGAAGATTTTTTAATATCTATATCAAAGCTAGGCATAATGACAAGGTCTTCCCTGAGGAACAGTAAGACTGAGGACACTGTCACCCCTGCCATAGGCACTTGCCTCTGTCCTCTCCTACTCCCCCTCTCCATCCCATCTTTCCCTCTCTGTTTACTTATCTTTTGGCTATTCTAAAACACCTCCCTAAGGCAGGCAACTTTACCCATTAGCATTGCTTCATCCCCTGATGTCAATACTGAGGCTGACCCTGGACCTGAAGGGGACAAGTCTAGGGAAAACTTTTACCTCCCTTCCAGCAATCCACTGGATTATATAATCAGTCCAGTCAGAGCCTGAACACCAGAATGAGGCTTCTTCATCACTCACTCATCCCCTCATTCAACAAACACATTATAAGCACCTTTAATATGTCAGGCATTCTTGTATATCCTGGTGATACAAAAATAGTCATTGGCCTCAAAAAGATCACAGGCACCAACTTTTCCAAAATGTTGCTCCCTAGAATACCAGTTTTTTAGCATAATAATCTTTATATGAGGGACGAAGGTCTATATATAGTCAAATAAACTAGGAAACCCCTGAGCTAAAGATAGCTAAACAGGTTTCTTTGTTTCAGGACTTCTCAGTGCCTTTAATATAGTTTTGTGTTAATGTATATTGTAGCATTGCTCAAATTATTCAAATACCAAAGTGCTATGTAAACATGCACAGTGATACACTAACAGAAGTGCAAAATAAATGTGATGGGTTCAGAAAGGTTACCTTGGATTTGGGATTCAGGGAAGACTTTCTAGAGGAAGTGATGTCAGAACTAGAATTTGGCCAGATGGAATAAGGAGAAGATACCGTATTTCCCTGTGTATAAGACGCACCCTTTTTCGAAGAATTTGGGGTCTAAAAACTGGGTGCGTCTCATACAGTGGTTGTAGATTTTTTTACTTGCATTTCCCGCTGAGGACAAGGCAATATATGAAGACAGTGATTCATCATCAGACACACATGAGGACAAGCTAGTGGCTGGGAGTTTTGACAGTGATGAGGAGTTGTATGAATTTTATGATGAATAAAACTTGAGTTCAATAACTTTATGTAATACATTTTTTTTCAAATTTCGGGCCCCAAAATTAAGGTGCTTCTTATACATGGGAGCGTCTTAGACATCAGGAAATACGGCAAGTACAGCATATGCAAAGGTGTATCGGCATGAGTGGGTGGTTTATTAGGTGGTCAGAGAGTATTTGAGAATGCCAGGGTGTATGAGGATGGCAGACTAGCCCCTAGATCTTAGGCTATGTTCCTGCTTATCATGAGCAGGACGCCTGGATGCCTGCCTTCCACTTGCTTCTTACAACTCTCCACTGCTATTTCCCTTCAGCTTCTGGACTGATGTTTTGCCCAATCATTAGCCAGACAGCCCTCTCATTCCCACCCAATGCACACACACATACATGCACGTGTGCACACACACTCATTCATACTCCTCATACCTGGACTCCTGGATAAGACTTCGCCCTATATTAAGATGGGACTAAATAAGATGAGTTCCAAAGATTATTAAATATGTTATTTGAAAAGCTCTCGGCCCATATGACTCAAAGGTTTGACCAGGATCACTCTTGGATTAAAAAAAACCAAAAAACTCTAATGCTCTAAATAAAAGAGAGCTTGCCTTTCTTATTATGTTTGCCTTCTACTGGATATATGGATTTTCCCTGAGCTCTATCAATTTGGACAGCAAAGTAAAGATTAAATGGTTCAGATGTCTGCCCGCGGCAGCAGGCTTTGCTCTATATGAACTCATCTCATGTCCATTCGTGTACTGGAAGCTGCTGATGCCTTTGCTCTCAGGTAAAAACGGGAGAAGAGAACTGCAGGGGCTAGGGAAGCCATGTGCCTGCTCAGAAACTTTAGCAATTCAGAGAGATTGAAGGAAGTCTTCCCAGGAGGACTCTGGCCTTTGCGGTGTAGAACAGGGAACAGTGCATGTCATATCTGAAAAATATGATGCGGATATGAATTTTCCTTCATTCGGCTCTGTGTTTCTAACACTTAGCCCCAACATGGTGAGTCAGATTTTTCGAATGAGCACTGTGAATCCAGATTCTTGTCTAGTGATGAAAGTAGCTAAAATAATACAGCAAGAATTGTGGTGGGACATCTTTGGCATACTGGAGGGGATGGACTATTATTCTGCTTTTCCTTACTCAATTCTGATTCATCACATATAGATTTTTTTTCCCCTTTGTTAATATTTTATGAAGTGAAACAAAATCTTTCAGGAGGTAACCTACTGACAGCTTAGATCATTACTGTTTTCTACCTGCCTTTGCAAAAAGAAGATAATTGCTGGAAGAATAATGAGGAAAATCTCTTTCTTTGCTGAGGTTCTTAAAATCAAATCTGCTTATAGCGCCACTCTAGAAGGGGCTGACCAAGGCTTCAAAAGCTAAAATAAAGTCAGAATCATTTTATTCCATCAAAGGCCTTTTCTCATTTTGGTTCAGATTGAGCTCAGGCATCATCTTTGTAGTGCCTGTTCATTTGCTCTGCATTGATCCATTTGGTTCATTGCCTAAGCACTCAGTAGGGAGGCAGCTTTATGAATTTTCTTACCACTGCCTTTGTACAAGCTCTGTTGGATCTCCTTTCCCTGTCCCTGGATAACTTACTATAGCTTTCCAGTCATTTTCAGGTATTAACCAACAGCCTCCTTTTCAAGGATTAAGTTTAGTCAAGTCAAAATTCCAACATCTCATCCAATTCAAATCTTCCTCAGCCAGGGCACAGTAGAGCAGTAGAGAGAGAGTCTGTGCTATTTCTTCATACTTCTTCCCTTTGCTCTTCCCTCACTCACTGTGCTGCTTCTGGCTCCTCCAGGGTTGGGGGTGGCATGATGAAGGTGGAACAAAAAAGGAAGGGAAGGAAAGGGAAGGGACAGAAGGTTTTATGAGTATGAGACCTGTGCTGTTTATGTAGACTTGATGCCCTTCCTACTGCAGGAGGCTAAATGCTGGCCATTTCTCTCTTGGCCAAGGGGAATCCCACTTCACTATTCCCAGACAAGGATGATGCTCTGTCTGGCTGGCCATCTGTGAATCCCTTTTTGCACCTCTGAGTAATGGTATACCCGGCCAGCCCCTTACTGTTGGAC